CCTTTTTGGAAGTCGGCAGAAAAGCATATTTTTTTTATCTTTCATTTGGCCCCATGCTACGGACGGGGGATATATGTCTACTCGTTATGTCAAACGGGGATATACTTCTGCCCGTTGCCGTGTTTTGTGGCATAAGAACAAGATAATTTTATCTCTTGCCAATGGAAAAAATGGGGGATACACTTTTTGTCCCCAGTCCATGCTAGCTGTGCTGGTACCGGACGCGTTGCTGCTGCAAAAGAAACGAGTTGAATGTAAATTCAAGAAATACAACTTCCTTCTGCGTGAATCCCATATCTCTGGTGCCCTTTGACCTACAGGACCCAAATTCAAACTCGACCGAGCTACTACCTCAAGGTATCCACATACCAAATTTAAAGTCAATCGGTCCAGTGGAACGGAAGTTATCGTGTCGGCATACAGACTAACAGACTGCCAGCTAAAACCTTTCAATGCTACGGAGAAGGAAGTTAATAATTGTGGGAATGTTGTATTAAATTTGCAAGAGTATAGTTTAAATAGGAATTATAATACATTCATTGAAATTGAATGATAAATAAATTTGATATATATATAAATTTGTTATTGTGATACGCGCGCCACCTACTATATATACGCGCCTATAACCTTCGCGCAAGTGCAAACAATTAGTTGACAAAGTTTATGATCGAACAAACATTAATTTTTGTATATTAGATAGGTAGGTGTCGAATATTTAAATAATTATATATTTTTGTAGTATAGGCATAGTACAATTAACATACAGTAGGTGGCACGCGTATCGTACCGACAAATTTATGTTTATCAAATTTATCATTCAATTTCAGTGAGTCAGATTCTCTATTAACGTTGTGAAAATGACTCACAATTTTAAATAAGATTTAATATTAAAACATTTATTTTATAATGATTTCTTATATTTACGCGAACACTACACATTGAATAAAACTACTTTTACGGATTTTATCGCGTTTAATTAACTTATTTTATATTCCCGACGTTTCGGTTGCTTTCCAGCAACCGTGGTCACGGGGGACTGAGGTGATTGACGTTCCGATGTCAAAGTTAACCCGGAGTACCTTCAGATTTTTAATTATTAATTTTATTTAATATTTATTTGCGAAGATCGGACCAAAATTAATAATTAAAAAGCTGAAGGTACTCCGGGTTAACTTTGACATCGGGACGTCAATCACCTCAGTCCCCCGTGACCACGGTTGCTGGAAAGCAACCGAAACGTCGGGAATATAAAATAAGTTAATTAAACGCGATAAAATCAGTAAAAATAGTTTTATTCAACATTTATTTTATGTTAAATAAGTTAAAGTTACAGCCTATATACCTACGCGTCCCTCTGGTGGGCACAGGCCTCCTCTCATTCCTTAGAGGGTTTTAGGGCAAGGAAGTGTCCGCCGCGCTGCCCCAATGCGTGTTGGTGAACTTTACATGTCTTCGAAACATTTTTTTTCTTATTTCTCAGACATGCAGGTTTCCTCACGATGTTTTCCTTCACCGCTGAGCACGTGGTAAATCAGCACTTAAAATTGTAATGTACAATTTAATTGGTGCCGGCAGGATTCGAATCCGGGTTGCTCGTGTATTGTGAAATTTACAGCGAGCGCTAACCATCTGAGCTACCACGGCTCTACTACTTCTAATTTTACGTTTATTTATTACTAACATAGCGCCCCCTCGACTTCGCCCATTATTATGGCATAATTTGGATTTAAGATAAGCAAAGATTATTTATTGTATAAATTTTTCAAAAAAAGTCTTGAAGTTCATCAGATATGGACGTATACGCTTTTATTTATTTATTTATCTATTATTTATATTTTTAAATAAAACTAATTTTACGTATTTTATCGCGTATATTAACTTATTTTTTTATATTCCCGACGTTTCGGGTGCTTTCCAGCACCCGTGGTCACGGGGGACTGAGGTGTTTGACGTGCTGCTGTCATAGTTAGCCCGGCTACCTTCAGTTTTTTTTTTAATATTAATTTTAATTATAATAGTTTTATTTAAAAATGTGTAGTGTTCGCGTAAATATAAGAAATCATTATTATTTATATAATATAATAATAAGCCATTTTATTCTAAACTTCTCGGTTACATATGAATACTAGACATGCTCTTGTTTGTTATAATATGTCCCGACGCTCAGTTTGCCTTTTGGCATAGGCCTTTAACATTTTCCACTGGGACCTGTCCCGCGCTACCCTTCTCCAATGATGTCCAGCCGTGAGTTTTAAGTCGTCTTCCCATCTAGTTTGTTGGCGTCCTCTACTTCTCTTACCATCTCTGGGATACCAGTCAGTAACAGTTTTGCACCACTTCTCTTGTGGATTACTTTTGTTGGTCTATTCGGGTTATTATATCGACAACTTTGGTTTTGTCCCTTATTATGCTACATCTTACTCTGTCATATTTCCTTATTCCTGTCAAACTTCTCTCCATGGCTCTCTGACAGCGTTCCAACTTTTGTCTGTGGTGTTTGGGGAGTGCCCAGGTTTCGCATCCGTAGGTAATGAAGTATACACAGTTACAGTATACAGTGTTGAAAAGTTTCCTTTTTATTTGCATACTTAGCTCCTTAGATTTATATAGTTTCTATTATTTAATGTACACCAAAATACAGAAAATAAGTGGAATACAATTTAATCGATATATAATCATCTTCCAAAGCTTTTTTTCCTTTGCATGGAGGTCTGATGCAAAAATCACCTACACCATATCATCCTGTGTATGTCGTACGAGACGACAGGAAATCTGAAACAGGAGATGTGCAGCAGCATCTTCCCGATAACAACTTAATGACTAAACGCTTCAATTTTATAAATATCGTTATTATTAGGGTTCCGTACATCAAAAGGAAAAAACGAAACCCTTATAGGATCACTTTGTTGTCCGTCCGTCTGTCTGTCTGTCTGTCTGTCAAGACCCTTTTTCTCAGGAACGCGTGGAGGTATCAAGCTGAAGTTACTTATCAAATACTCAAGTCTACTGTCCCTTGGAGCTGTGAAAAAATCAAACTTCTAAGCCAACGCAATCAAAAGATACAGTCGTTTATGTCGCAAATTTTCGACATTTGCAAGGGAATCAAAACCTACAGGGTACTTCCCGTGAACTCAGAATCTTAAAATTTCGTACGAAGCAACGTATTATAGCACAGATAAAGGAAAAATTGCGAAAAGCATAAATTTTTAGTTACATCGTATAATAAAAGTATTTTTAATAATTTTAAAATTATATACCTACGGATTTGTTCGGAACCCTCGGTGCGCGAGTCCGACTCGCACTTGGCCGGTTTTTATTAATATATTTAATTTCGATTGATTCGAAGCGAACGTCCCTGAGTTACGTACTGTCTTTATTCCACGTTTCGTCTCGAATCGGCCAATCGCTTCGCTTTCGCACTGAGCTCTGAAACCCCACGTGCTCGAGCGCCGCGGCTTCGCATTACGTGCCCGGATTAAACCTTCGGTTGGCCAACAAGATGGCGTCATCTGTAGTCGTCAATTATCTCATTAACGTTAAGTAATACCTATGGAGAGAGTTATGCTCGGGTCTTCTCTGCGTAACACTTAAAAATAAGGATATCTGCGGTTGAACCAGAGTTACTGGCATATCCCAACGGATTAGTAAGCTGAAGTGGCAAGGGGCCGGCCATATAGCTCGAAGAACCGACAAACGATGAGCAACGATGTACTGGCGGACGAAGTGTAGGGCGTCCCCCCACTAGATGGAGTGACGACCTGGTAAGACATGCAGGAAGTCGATGGATGCAGGTGGCTCAGGATCGCACTTTGTGCTATTCCTTTGTGCTATTTTCGGATAAAATATAGTCTTGATAAACCCTGGCATTGCTCTCTATCTGTTCCTGAAGTTTTATTACAATCGGTTCAGGCATACAGACAGACAAACCTTTTCAAAATAGTTATTCGTGTGTCTCTCAATGGCGTCTTACGTAGTAGAGCCACGCTGCAGCTATATTATGGTTGTAGCACTGATGGGTTGTTTCGACCGGGGTAGGACCACACTCTCTCAGAAACTAGCGTAAAATATCAGCTTAATGCTGCTCTGTTTCGTATGGTGAGTGTAGAGAACCGGAGAGACCTTTTTTACTGGAAACGAGACATTCCATCTTAGTCCTCACGGCGACAACGCATCTGCATTTTGATTCTTAATCGAGAATAAACGTAGATGTCTATGGACCACAGCATCCACTTACCACTAGGTGGACTGTGTGCTGTCACAAAAAAATGAAAATAATCTCATCTTAATGTAAGGCAGTTATTTTGATATTATAGACACAGACCTTATGTATAGAATATAGATTTATAAAGCCTCCGTAGTTTAAATGGCTTGATGAGTTTTAGCATATGGGGTGTTGATGGACACCATAGACTTAGTTGTAGAAGTGACATAGGTGCCTATGTCACTTCTACTTCTACAACTATATAGAATAGATAATAGTACCTACAAGTAATCTATACAAATAAATAAAATTGAAGTGTCTGTTTGTAATGTTAAAATAACAGCATTTTACTAAATGCATATGAAAGTATATACGGTGCTAATAACAAAAAAAAAACAATTTTTAAAATTTTTGTCTGTCTGTCCGTCTGTTTGTTCCGGCTAATCTCCGAAACGGCTGAACCGATTTTGACGGGACTTTCACTGGCAGGTAGCTGACATCATAAGGAGTAACTTAGGATTTATTTACTAATTTTATTGTTACTTACTTTTATTTTAGAAAAATAAAAGTAAGTAACAATAAAATTAGTAAAAAATTTAGAAAAAAAATAATTAGGGTTCCGCGCAAAAACATAAAAACCCTAACACGCGAGCGAAGTCGCGGTGAACAACTAGTTGGTAAATAAATATTATAATATTCACACTAGCAAAATAATAACGTGGACAAAACTATAACGCAAGTTGAATATGTAAGTGTAAAGACTAATCGGTATACCGTACCGAAAAACCGGTTTATACCAATGGCTGGTACAAGAACCATCACGGCCGAACCGCCTCGCTCCACGGCGTACTATTACGCTGACCTCGAGCGCCTGAAGAGGAAGAATGGATGCCAGGATTCCCCGAATCCGGCCGAGGAGTCGAACCCGAACCAGAACGAGCACAGCGATTACGTAGAGTCGAATGAGGTGGTCGACGAGGGACCGGTGGCGGAAGTGCCCCCGCTTAGGGACCGGAGGGAGTGCCAGGACTCCCCGAGGCCGAACCCTGAAAGAAAACTGGAGGAAACGTATTCAACAGCCGGCACCTTCCCCATGCCCGAGCCTAAGGAAAAGGAACCCCTGCTCGCGGAACTGGAAGTTGTCGGGAGACTGCCTCTAACTCAACTGGACTCTGGTTCTGGAGTGAGAAGAAGTAGAAGCTGGTACTTGTGCTGCCCCAATGTTGGGGAGGAGGAGATATCGAGGGAGTCGTCGTGGAGGTACTCCAGTCTGCGGCCTGTCACCGCGCCACCAGCTCCTGGGCAGAATGGTATACACCTGGTAGGTGCAGAAGTAATTTTTATCTGTTTGATACAGCTGTACGTCATCATTGCAGCACAAGTCCACCGCTGAACATAGGACTCGAAACAAGTTAGACTTTGGTAAAAAATATCGATATATTGAATTATCGATATTTTCTCATAAAATATTGATATATTGAAATATCGATATTTTATCATAAAATACTAATATATTTCGACGATTATATTAAACGCGATATACCGATATTCGATATATATTTTAGAGAATCGAATTCGTATCAATTTCGATATAATATTAAAATGTTGTATTAATCGACAAAACATCTACAAGCAGCTATAAAAGCAGTCGTTCAACCGTCCAGTAATAAAATTTTGGGCATTATCTTACTACATTATGCAAAATATGACGATATATCGATATTTACCATACGGTATTTATTGGTATTGTTTAAAAATATCGTTACGATATATATCGATATTGTTTTTCACTTGCCCCAACACCAGAACAAGTATGTATGACCTACAAATAATTATTTCCGGTCTAATGTTTGTACGTGTGCAATTCATGTATATAAAATGTCCTCCAGACCGGACACTAGCCATCTGTGCAGGATAGGATTATAGCAAGCGCAGGTGCACTCTCTATTGCCTCACTCTCATAGTCCGACTGGACGGCAATCCGATACGACTGGAGAGAAATTAGGCGCAGGACCAACGGCTTTACTTGCTTTTCGAGACACAGGGGTGAAACACCGCCAACTTCTGCTACTGAGAATTCTTTGACACCTGAGACACTACTGAGAATTCTTTGAACCCACCACTAGACCGACGAGGTTATATAAAAAATAGCTCATGACACAGAGGATACAGGTGAAATTCTTAGTGTGTAACTTTTTTAGTATACCTCAACGGATAGTTCTCAGGAGGAAACCTCTATATCTGGGATTAGTTTTTCGGTTTAATCGTCATAACTACCTCTATAATTGAGACAGCGAGTATATTTTACCTCTTTTACTGAAACTATATTTTGTGTACCGTTTCGTTTACTAATTCTTATTCTACCCGCAAATTCCGCACTTTGCTAATTGTGTAAAAGTGACCTCCAGTTTTAGCTTGGTTTTGCTATCGTCCGGATGTTTATTTGAAAATGCCGAAACAAAGGCTTAAATCTTTATCAGTACGTGAAAAACTAAAGTTAAGATTGTTAATAAAGATTACAACTAACGTACCTAGTCAGGTCATAAATTCTGTCACATGTTTAATATAAAATAATTGAAACAAGTTTATTCATTATGTAACCATTTATATACCAAAATGAACTTAACAAAACACAGATTCTTATGACACTAAAGTTTATTCAAAATGACCTCCGTGATTTTGAATACAGGCCTTCAATCTGCGCGGCCAGTCGTCTATCGCAGCACGAACGAGGTCCATGTCAATATCGGCGGCTGCCTTAATCAAGGATGTCTTGAGTGACTCCAAATTGGGATAAGGCTTTGAGCACGCCTTTTCCTCCAAGTGTTGCCATATCTTGTAATCTAACGGATTCAAATCTGGACTGGAGGAGGGCTTCGTGCCGGATGAAGTCGATTTCACGCGCCGCCAGCCAGTCTTGTGTGCTCTTCGCTCTATGAGCTGGCGCCGAATCTTGTTGGAATACCCAGTGCCTGTTATTGAACATGGTATGAGAAACAGGTTCCACAAGGTTCGTCAGGACTGTATTTTGATACACAACTGCATTCGTTTTTACACCTTTCTCACAAAAATGTACCTCTGTTAAGCCCCAATAAGAAACTCCCAACCATACCATGAGCGAGGATGGAAAATGACCTCGTTGGACACGCGGAATACGGTTGCTCGCTTCTTCACTACCTTATCATTTTGTTTGTTGTAGCTCTCTTCTACGGTAAAAATTTTTTCATCCGAAAAAAGAATTTCCCGATATTTTTTTCCCGCGTACCGCTTCAACAAAGCGCGGCATTTCTTCAGTCTCAGGTCCATTAGACGAGCATTTAAACGATGTCCTGTTTTTCTTCGATATGCCCGAAGCCCTAAGTCTTCATTTAACACCCTTTTCACCGTGGTTCTGCTTAACCCCATCTGAAGGGCCAACAGTTTCTGCTTACGTTTGGGATTTCTTTGAATTCGCGCCTTCACAGCTTTTATCACTGCTGGAGTCCTAACAGACCGAGGGCGACCACTTCTTGACCTGTCATCTACACTAGAGTCTTCATTGTATCGTTTGATGGTACGATAAACGAATCTTTTGGTTATATTCAAATTTTTCAGTATGTCAAAAAATGGAATTGGCGCGTAACCGCAACGATGCAACGCAATAACTGCAACACGGTCTTCTTTAAGCGTCCACTCCATATTTAAAAATGAGTAAAATTCTAAAAAGTATACAGTTTTATTTTCATGAACAATTCGAAATTCGAATTCAATAAACTTTTTTGTGGCCAGCATTCTAAAAGAAAAGTTTTTACTGTGTGACAATACTTATGACCTGACTAGGTATAATGTTTATAACATAGGTTATTTTATTTAATAATTGCACCTCTATAACTGGAATAACCTCTATTCTCACCTCTATTAATGAAACGCTCTTAAGGTCCTATTTATCCAGGTTTCATTGAAAAAAAAAATCCGACACTAAGTGTGGAAAAATAGAGGATGAAGTTTTTATTGTAACTTAAACGACATCCTAGTTCTTTAGTTGAGCTTGTGATGTTTGTTAGACCATTCAAAAGGTTTGAAAAATTAAACTTTTAGTAATAAGTAAAAGCAAAGCTCAAAAAACTAAAACGAAGAAAGCGATTTCCACATAATAGCTCCTGAAGCTATACTTTATGTCTTACCACCGACTTTAGAAGCTATTATGTGAAAATTATCTCAATAAGTATCATACGCCAGTTTTTGACAACTATCCCCGCCTGATGGTAAGTGGAGGTGAAGCCCTGAAGATGGTAGATTAGGCTGCCTTAGCATAACAAGCGCTTTTGCCTTGAAGACGCCCACTTAATCGGACGGTAACACACATGCTGGTACATTATTCCAATCCTTTACTGTTCACTGTACGCATTATAAACGACGCAGCAAAGTGTTTGGTTCGAACGCGTGGTATATCGACAACAAAGAGTCGGAGAACAGCCGAGCGGCTGGTGGAATGGAGAGGGAGGACTTATGCAATGCCTGGGCACACTTAGAAATGTATGCCGTAAAACACCGAAAGGCTGGCTACTTTAAAGGAGACAATTCTTTTTGTATGGAGAATGGGCTCACCAAAAATTGTGGCGTAACTTAATGAAATACATGTCGTTTTATTCCTTACAGTCTATAGGAAAGGGTATTATTATTGCTATTTGCCGTATCTAACAGGTATACTGAGAAATTAATAATTAAAGTATGAATATCACAATAACGTAGTAACAAACTAAAAGCGATTGTCTTGTAGTTTTCAGCGGTATTATAAGTTAAAATAGTGTACTCGGCAATAATTAATAGTATAGAACAAAGTTGTAGGTACATTCAGCCTTTAAGGTACTTTACGATTGATGGAAAATCATTTCAGTAGTTCGTTTGTCGGTACACGCAATTTTTTCATATAACTTTAGCCAGAACACTAATATCAAAACAATAATTCAGATTACCTGATTCCGGTTGGATTTTCATAAAATCTTTAGGTCGTATACTATAATAAATTGGTATCTGTTTTTATGTGTAATAAAATTATGTTACGTCAAAATTTCTAGTGGGCCCAAAAACGATTGTCTGCTTTGTACTCTAGGCTTGATGAGAGTTCTAACAATATTGCTGTCGCCAATAAGCCCCTTAGCAAGAATTTCCGTTGATTCCAATGTCGCTAGGTGACATTTTGCAGCACCAGCTCATATATGGCAGCAATACTCCATGTAAGACAGTACTGTCGCTTTATAGAGTGTAAATAACTGTACAGACGTTAAGTATCATATAATCGTTGTAAGGATACCTAACTTACTTGCAGCTGCTTTGGTTCTGGGCTCAGTGAGTCGTCCAAAGTTCACGATTCAAGGGATTTTTTTATAGGGTGACAAACGAGCACACAGTCCACCTGATGGTAAGTGACTGCCTTGACACATAGACATCTACATCTATCCTCAATAAAGACACAAGATGCAGATGCGTTGTCAACCGTGAGGACTAAGATGAAATGCCTCTTTGCCAGTAAAAAGGGTCTCCGGTTCTCTACACTCACCATACGAAACACAGCAGCGTTAAGCTGCTATTTTACGCTGGTATTCTGTGAGAGCGTGGTCCTTCCCCGGTCGAGCCGAGCCGTTCGTGCTACAACTATACTACTAATATAGCTGCAGCATGGCTCTACCACGTAAAGGGATACTTCCGTACCATCGTAAAACACGTTTCTAGTAGGGGTTTCTAGTAGTCCTTTTTAATTTTTAATAATACACATTCTGTGAAAATTTCAACTGTCCACCTATTACAGATCATGAGATACAGTCGGTTGACAGACAAACGGACTGACAGTGGAGGCTTAGTAATAGGGTCCCGTTGGTTACCTTTTCGGCACGGAACCCTAAAAATATCTGTGCCCGATCGTCAAACACAACCGACCATTCGATATTGGATTTTAGAGCAGAGTGTTCCCGAATTGTAACTTCGGAAATAGTTTTATGTCGCTTTTGATGTGCGCCAGACTGCGCCTTAATGCCGGCTTCCTAGCGTTTATTGCGTCATTTCTTGTTTGATATATTGTCAGGTTTTTTTTTTATGGAAGAGGGGGCAAACGAGCATACGGCTCATCTGATGACAAGTGATCACCGTCGCGATCATGAACATGCGTAACACTAGGGAAAGTGCATGTGAGTTTGCTTTTAAAAAGAAGTAGGTTCATTTCTTGAAGGTTCCTAAGTCGTTATCAGGGAAGTTGTGCGAGGAGGAAAACTTCTTCTAAATCGCACAGTAGTGGACCTCGCAAACTCGACAGTAAATTCCACAGTGTGGTCGTGCGTGGCTGAA